TAAATGGAGGCAGAAAAACTACTCAGTCTGCTTCATAAATTTGTTGTGAGGCTTAGTACGTTCAGGATGTGAAAGTGCTTTGCTCTGTTAAAAGCTAGCATCTCTATAACTACAAGGCATTGTTAACATTCTGTTAACAAGGAAGCTTGTTAAAAAGGTACAAAAACTGTCACTGATTTCATACTGTGTGAGTACAACATCACTCAAACACCAAATTTTGGCTACTGCCAATGTTGTGTTAAATAAATTGATTTTGAAATACTAGTACTGGAACAGGTCTTTTGTAGGTTAAATAAAACCTCACCTAGTTTTTACAGGATAAACACTCAAAGAGAGCCAAACCATTTGTTTTCATGTGGGTAAAGGCAGCAAACACCCTGGTTTGAGCTTTAGTTAACTCTTCCCTGGGTCACTCAATGGTTTTGTTTCTTCTTCAATCTGAGTTCTGTATCTATTTTGTTTTCTGACTTCTACTCTAAAAGACTACAGTCCATTGACCCCACTGACTGTGCATACTAGGGAAGTATAACGCTATATTAGGAAAATGCTGCTAGTTTGGTGTTTCTTCAGTTAAGAAAAACTAGATGCTTTGAGTTGTTCCAAAAACAACTTTGAAAACAAATTTGTCAAAATTCAGCTCATTAGGTGTCAAAGTCTCCCTATTGAGCAATGGTGTTTAACATTGGAACATAGACCAACTAAAGTCAGGAAACTTCAATATAAAATACACTTTTAGACATAAACATTTTATTTGTAATTCCACAAGGATCACGTATCCTTGGAGCAAAGATTAAGACCTTTGACTAGAGGTACCATTTTGAAGATTAAGAAATTATCATAACTAGCTAGTTACTCTGCTTTTAAAAGAGATCAAAGCTTTCCTAGGGAGCAATTACATAAATTTTTCAGTATGTTTTGTAAGGTGGATGTCAGAGCTTACCTCTGGTAACATGATGAGACTGAATGTCAGGATAAAGAGAACCATATTGACTCCATACATCCACCTCAGGAACAGGAAGTATGAGGCCACAGATGAGCCAAACTGGCCTATTATAACAAAGAAAATAAACTGGTTGAAGGGGAGGTCAAAACAAGAAAAGAAATGACTCCACCTTAGCGACCCTCCAAAGTACATCGAACTAAAACACATGGGGCCCTGCTGCATTAGCAAGCGCTTGCCTTCTTTCTCCTGGAAGAGAATATTTCAATGACATGGCTGCACGATCTGTGGTGTAGAAGAGAAGGGGTTTTGTAGACTGTCACTGTATAGAATACAATCTACTCCTTCTCGGTCCATCTGAGGCAGAGTTACCCTGAGCTTAGCAGCTAAGATCACCATATATAGCACTTGTTTTTCTCCTTGAGTTAAGTAAGTAGATACATGTAAAGTAGTAGCTGCATTGTCCAGCCTATGGCTGGGTGCAGTAATAATGACTTCAGTCCGCCTTTTCTTGAACAAATTATAAACATCATGTCTCAAAGAAGCTCACTGGTTGGTTTATGGATGGTTCTAAGACTCTGTTGTGGCATCTCTTCACCACTGGCATTTTCCAGAGAGAGGGCAGATGCTGAAATTCACACCACACATATTTACTAAGTATTTTCTGGCAGAAACTTTCTTTAATACAGAGCACAATGTCACAGGCATAATGGCTACTCTTAGAAATGATATTTCAGTGACATATAGAAACAACAAATATTCTATATGTATATTAACATATATGTAGATGATATAAGATATGTATGTGATAATTACAGTCAGAGCCTACAGGGGAGGGTGAAGTGTTGAGGAGAGTTGCTTTAGATCCACTTGTGAAGAGGTGTGGACAAACACCTGAGGCAGCGGAGAAGGAGCAGCTGGAGCAGAGGGAAGAGCAGAGATCCCAGAGAGTGGGAGCTGGGGCAGCTGAATGAAACCAAAGCCTACACAACTGGAGTAGTGAATGAGGGAAGTGTTGGCAGATGCTGTTGTTGAAGGGAGGCCAAACCACACTGGGGAGGGTCTCTTAAAGCAATGTAAATAGTATTTTGTTTAAAACAGGATGAAGAGTCAATGAGAGGTGTTAAAAAGTGGGGCTGAAAGGAAGTCATGGACATGACTTTTCAAAAAGATCCACTTGAGTTTGGGGGAACACCAGTGTCAGCTCATTCCTGCCCCAGTGAAAAGTGGTGACCTGCTTAATTCTTACTGACTGAGAAATAAGTAAATGCATGAGTAAAAAGCATTAAAGCTGAGACTATATTATTTCTATGATAACCACTTACAGCATCGAGGTGCTAGCTCTACCAATCTTCCTAATTATGGTTTTCAGTCACCCAAGCAAAAACAGTGAACAGCCTTAGTCACCCTCTGTATCAGTCCTTATGGCAAATCCCTTGTAAGAACCAATGCTTTTCTTGAGGTCTCTAACTTTAAACTTTCCCAGTGAGGAAGCCTTTTTATAAGAGAGGAAAGGTTCTAACAGAGGAAATGTCAGCCTGTGCTCATTAAAGTAAGGCCAATCTCACATTCTAGGAGTTTCATCTAATCTTTAGGTATCATTTAATTTATTCCCATAATACAGTGGCAAATTTTTTAGAAATTAAAAAATGCTCAATTTCTAAATGGACACTGAAGAAGAAATCAATGATTTTGATGACTGTTTGGTGTCTGAGAACTTGGAGACTAAAGGAATGGCTCAAAGGTTAAGAGCACTTGTTGCTCTTGCAGAGGACCTGGGTTCAGTTCACAAAATCCACCTGGTGGCTAACAACCAGCTTAACCCCAGTTCCAGGCGATCTGATGCCCTCTTTTGGCATCTCTGGCCATTGTACAACATGGGTACATTTATACACATGCAGAAAAAATAGTCATGCACATAAAATAAAAATAAATAAATAAGAAATTTTGAAAAGAGAGCTTGAACTCATTCCACATTATAGGGATCGTAGCATTTTGTAAGGTTTCTAAGATCATGTAGCTTTGACCCACCCCCATGGTACGGCAACCATGTGCCCTGGTCTTCCTGAGCAACCCTAAAGCAGATCTGACCCTCCTAGGATATCTGATCATCCACCTGGCTCCCAGTGATTTCATATCATTGCACAGCTCTTATCTCTGTTCTCTGGTAACAACTATCAAAGGACTGCTCTGCCAGGCTCATTGATCATGTTTTATTGAAACAGTCCTCATTTACTGGAGGAAAACCACTAACCATCTCTAGACAGCTGGCGTAAGGCTTTCTGTATAACATATGTGAGACCTTCTGATATAGAGGACTGAGTGCCGAGTATGGAGCCCCCTCCCTCCCTCCTCCCACCCCTCCCCTCTCCTTCCTCTCCTTCCTTCCTGCCTCTCTCCCACCTTCCTGTCTTTATTCAGCTTTGCTCTTCTTATCACCATGGTCTTCACTCTCAGTTCTCACACATAACCACAGGCAAATGAGCTCACAGGCATAGATTTTAAATATACTTAAATGCAAAAGAGAAAAGCATATCTCATAAAGTATCCCTTCCCCCAACACACACACACATATATCATGGACTGATTTCATTAAAAGTAGGATGATTCTGGAAAAGACACAGATACAAATCAGGGCAACTGAGAGTTCCAGAAGGCCATGTTACATCCACAGGCCACTGACAGAGGCAGAGGGAAGGTGAAACGGCAAGACAAAAGAACTGAAGAGACACAGTGGGCCAACTCATAACATCAGAACTCCAGAGGACCGTTCGTTGTTTCAACACAAAAAGGAAAACCATCTTCCTTCCCTACCCCATCTATTCTAGAAATTCTACTGCTGAAGCTTTCTAGCAAAATCTGGTGTTTACTAAAAATAAAAAACTTACACAGCATAACTTAAAGGATATAAGGGAAAAATAGTTCTTTCCACTGCTCTGTTCTTGTAAGGCACATAAGAGGATGATGATGATGACGATGATGACAACGATGATGATGATGACGACTAGCACACCTTGAAGATCAGTCACACATACTAAGAACATCATCAACATTCTCTCAATTTCCTGACATTAGACTCTGATGGTGTTAAGTACTGTTAGGGCTCACTGTACTGCTCAGAAAACAAAAACTGAAACAGCAGTTGGCTGAACAAACTGATGAATTATAACTAACACTAAGGAATCTGTGCTTCAGGTTCCTGTTTGATCTCTGTGTACTAGCTTGTTTAGTCAAGTCCCTGTGAAATGAGAACACAGATAGTAACTATAAGCCAAGCTTCGAAACCAGGCAGGCTTCATCTGCAAGTGTTTGACTCCAAACCTAGATTTCTCTTAATCATAATGTTATGGATTCACAAGTGAAACTATAGTTAAATATGGTGTCTAAAATAAATATGGAATGAATGTTCCTATCTGAAAGAATGTCTGTAGATAATATCCAAAGCTAAGGCTATTCTAATTTACAATTGGTTCAGCACCCAGAAATTGCTAATTCTTTTTTATTTTAATAAAACTGATAAATGCTGTTTTCATAGTAAATTCTAAATGTGTCAAAACTCTTTCATATGTATCAAAGTGAAAATTAAGTACATGCATAGTCTTGTAATGAATTTTCTTGTGTTTCTTTCACATTAATATTAAGGCCTCACTTCTCCCTCTGGTTAGTTCTTATTAAGGAATGCAATTTGTAGTCTGTCATCCTACATAATTTTCCCGTGAACAGATGGGCAATGAGAGAAGCAGATATATATGAGCATTTCTGAGTGGAAAAAGACCAGGTAATTGGCCTGCTGTATGAGCAGACCATCAATGCCAGTGTTCAACTACAATATGAAGAAATACTTTCCAAGAAAGTCTAGGGGTAGAAAATTAGGTGGCAAACCTGCTCTGTATTTCCTGGGTATTTAGAGCAATAGAGAAACATCGGGTTTAAACTCTGTTCTTTGGATTGCCTATTTGAAGCTATTTCCAGTTTGAGAAATGAATCAACCACAACATATTGTAGGTACTGTAATCAATCCATGGTTTCTTAAACTAGGGTCATGACCCCAGGTTTTATAACTGAATGTATGGGGGATGAAAAACTTGACAATAATAAAACGTTTCTATGTGCAAAATGACCAAAAGTTAATTCAAATGACAATAAGCCTACAGTATTAGACATTAACTCCATCAAAAGACTGTCATGTAAAACCCCATTCCACAGATGGTAAAATTTCACAGCATCCTCTAAGGCTGGAATTATCAGAGCAAAATTTTAAATTGAAAAAAACTGAGAGTCGCCAGATAAGTATCTGGTCCATGTAGTCTCACTGCACTCAGGATGGTAATGCCATGAGGCTCAGACTCGGGCTTGATTCTCCCTATTTTTTGTCAAGTTTTGAAGAAAATTGGTGAAGACTCTATTGGGCCTCTATTACAGCCACATTTAAAAAGTACTTACTGTTTATTTTGAGACAGAGCAGAGAGTAAGGACTTGCCAATTAGATTGATGGGAGTGGTATGTTGCTGCCTTTCTTTAACATGTTACTGTAATCCATACCATCTTCACTTTCACAGCTTTCTATTTTTATGTCTTCTCCACCCAGCTGTCCACATATTAACACACATAGAAGTGAGACCAACAAGGGTAGAGTTTTGCCCATCTTTTCAGTGCCACAGAGCTTAGAACGATACCTAGTACGTGGCATAAACATTCAGTGAGCATTTGTTCAATAATTAACAAATGGCAAGATTACTTTGAAGATGAAATGAGGTATATATATATACATATATACATATATATTAGAATGTTCTAACATTCAAAAGCAATAGAATAATGTTCCCGAAGCTTCTGTGTGGTTAAATTGTTCTTTCTTTCAGAGAAAGGCAGTTGTGTTATTTTTTAATGAAATATATTTTATAAATAAGGTACATATTTAGCCAAATTTATTCTGAAAATAATGTGAGTATATAATTCAATAGGGATGTAGTAAAATCTGCTTATCATTTAAACTTTGGAATAATTTACCCCAGGCATGACGGCATGTGCCTTTAATCCCAGCCCTCTGGAGGCAGAAACAAGTGGATCTTTAAGAGATCAAGGCCACCCTGGTTCACATCGTGACTTCCAGGTGGGATGTGACTAGGGAGACCCTGTCAGAAAACAATCAACAAAACAAAACAAAAACAAAAACCCTTGCAATGATTTTCACTCAAAAGCATACATAATTTTACATGTGCTGCCGTACATCTAAGACTAATTATAAATTATAGATTATATAACATGGGGCTAGAAATGGCTTTGTATAACAACTAATCAAACCTGCAGAATTCATATGAAACCCTGAAACAGAAACAAAGGGCCAGAGATGAAGAAGATCCCCCAGAGTGTGGAGGTGGCAGGGAGCAATAGGGCCTCAGCCCTCGGAAAACTGACCCATCCATGTCGCTTTGCTTTCTGTTTTCCATTCAGTTCAGCTTCAAAGACCATCTTAAAGATGTGCCTTCCCAGGCTTGGTGGAGTGCTTTCTACCAGACCATTAGTGCGCTCAACTGCTCTGGGAATATATTCCATACACATTTCGTGTTTTTCAGCCCAGAAAATAGTCTGAAACATGTGGGCTGCTTATGACTATAATTCACAGTGTAGCACACTTAGAATATTGCATAGCATGATATGTAATGAAATAACTTCCTCAAAAGTAAATTTGTACAAAAATGAGAATTCCTCAACTATGATAACTATCAAGGAACGTACTCAATTGGTATGTACAGAAAGGCACGCATTTGATGAATGTATCTGTAATTTTATTATTGCATATGTGTTGAGTGCCAACTGGGCTCTAGGTGTAAACAAAGCAAAATACCTGCTTTCATGTCTACTGGAGGGAAATGAGCATGAAGTGAAGTCAGATGATATTAAAATATTCAATATAGAATGCAACATTTTGAATAGGGAGAAGTGTTAAAGGCAAATCAGGCAAGAAAGGCATATTGTAAGCAATTTGTGGGAGGAGGTGAGATTCACAAGCTGACGAATTTTAATTCATTACCATTAATGACTGTCATTTAATGAGGGACCAAGAACTGAGAGACAGCTACTTCTAAAACATGCCCAATCATGTCAGTGAAATGGTCATCAGCTGTATTATTTCCCTATGGAGCCACAATATTAATTATGCAATGCCATATTTAGCCAGCTGGAAAACCAGCTTTGGATCTGGACAGGCATGGATGGAAAGTCAGATCCTAGTCAAAACCCTAGGAAGCACAACAAGCCAAAACTGTGGGTTTTTTTAAAAATAGCATCCATTTTTCTTTATAATCAAAAATATTTTTACTGTTTTACTGTCTTGTTTACAGTACTTAAATTTTGGTTTGTATTATTCTATCTAAAAAGTATTGCATAAATAAATATTTGATTGAGTGCTTTTTTGTATGAGTATTGTGCAGAATGATGGTACACTAGGAATATTCAGATAGTGAATTATTGCTCCTTATTCTTCACAAGTTTGGATGAGAGCTATTAAGACTTTATTGTTTTCATTTTGGGAGCTAGAGAGATGGCTCAGCGATTAAGAACACTTACTGCTACTGCAGAGGACCTGGGTTTGGATCCCAGCACCCCACATGGCAGCTCACAACTATCTGTAACCCCAGTTCCATAGTATATGACATCCTCTTCTGGCCTCCATGGATGCCAGGCAAACACATGGTGTACATACACACATGCAGGCAAATACTCATTCACAGAAAATAAAAATAAATAAATCATTTAGGTGTCCTGATTACTGTCTAAAGTTTGTAAGATTATTCATTTGCAGCACCATGTTCACCCACCAAAATAAAACTACTGCCTTCCCAATAATATGACCTAATATCACTGCACAAAATACTAACTTTCCTATCTGAGAGAGAAAGCCAGTTCAAAATTGGAATGCTTTATTTTTCTAACATAAGGTAAGAGAGTGCTATCTCCAGTGCTGTCCTCAGTAAGTGCCAGGGTACTGACACAGTTTTGGTTTGAAATGTCCTTCCCCAAAGTCCCATGTTTTAAGGTTGTCAACTGTTGAAATACTGGGAAGGGGTAGAACCCCTACGAGGCAGGGCCTAATGGAGGAAATGAAGTCACCAGGGCTGAGGCTCCTTTTCTCACTTTCATCCTCACTGCCTTGAGTAGCCAGGCTTCTTCTGCCATACAGTCCCCTTGTAATGTATTGAGCCACCTCAGGCCCAAAGCAACAGGGCCAGGTGACCATATACCAAAACCTTTGAAACTGTGAGCCAAGTAAACATTTTCTTCTTGTAAGTTCATTATCTTAGGTGTTTGGTCTCAGTAACAGGCAGCTAACCCAAACCTGCATAAAGATAAATTGGAGGGTAAGCAGTTGTGTGTTTTTGGTTAGTTGTAATGGCTGTTTGATTGGGTTTTAATTTTCTCAAGGGTGCATCAACTTAGAAAGGTATCTTAAAAATTTGTGAGATTTTATTCTAGGACATTTTCCTCTTTCTGATTAGATCTAAGGAGAACTTACTTTCAATTGCCTTGATTTTGTTTTCCCATGGGATACAAGCAGCTTTGAAGTTCTCAAAATCACGGAGGAATTTTGCCCATTTCTGAAAGAAAGAAGCCAAGTATAATAGTAAAGTCCAACTCTGTGGGCCTCAAGATGTGCATGTCTGTTCCACCCTGAAATATTACAAGAGAACAGGCTTGGAGAGAGTTTTCTGGGACTAAATACTGCTGTTTTATTAAAATAGAATAGACTGGGTGTGGTGGCTCACTCCTTTAAACCCAGCACTCAGGAGGCAGAGGCAGGCGGATCTTTGTGAAATCAAGGGCAGCCTGTCCAAGTTCCAGGCCAGCTGGGGCTACAGGAAGACCCTGTCTCAAAAGTCAAACCAAACCAAACCAAACCAAACCAAAACAACAACAAAAAAGGGTAAACAGCAGGATTCACTTCACTGTCTATCTCACACCATCCTCTCCTAACTTAATTTGTAAAATATTGACTGCTAGGCGTGGTTGCACATGCCTACAATCCCCATTACTTGGGAGACTGACTCAAAAGTATAGCAAAATCAAAGCCAGCTGGGGCAAGATAGTGACATAATAGTTCAAAAACAAAAAAATAGAAAAATTACCAAAAAATATTTATTGATTCTGTTTTATACGGAGCATGCTGACCACTTTAAAAGATTTGTTTGTCCAACTGGACAACAAGAAAATATTAACTGAGTTATTAAGACTTCTGAATTAGGCAGAGTTTCTGCCTTGAAAGGCTTCTGGTATCCTAAAGTAGACAGTAAAAAAAAAAGATCATTTTAAAAATTATTTTTATTTTATGTGTATAAGTGTTTTGCCTGCATTGTGTCCATGCAATACATATGAGCAGTGCCCATGGAGACCAGAAGAGGGCATCGAATCCCCTGGAACTGGAATTACAGGTGGCTGTTAGCAGCCATGTGGGTACTGGGAACTGAACCAGGATCTCTGCAAGAGCAGGCAGTGATCTGAACCAGTGAGCCATCTCTCCAGCCCTCTAAACAAGTCATTTTAATTTAAGATCTTCAATTGCACAGACATTTCATTCTGGTAGAGGAAAGTAGTAAACTAAATAGAAAGGCATGAGATCACAGAAAAGAACAAATAAAACAATTTTATGAAAGGTCTTACCTCCGTTTTACTCTACAGTGTGGACTCTTCATTGTCAAGCAAACTTTAGGAGGAATGGGAATGGGGCAGATAATATGGACACTAGTACAAGGCAGCATGAGAGCTGAGTAGACACAACTGTAACTGAAGTTCAAAGACTACTCAAACTACTCTGAACGCCCATCTACAAAAGAAGGTGTGGCTATATAAATCGTGATATCTTCATATAATTTATAAACACAAACTAAATGAACTGTAACCCCATAGCAATACAGACATATCTCATGATTCCAATCATGCAAAAAAGAAACCACAAAACTCACACAGTGTGACTACATTCATTCGAACTCGAAAAAAATGAGTTAGCTATTTGTGTGTGTACATATATGAAAATTAGAATCTTTGAACTTCAGTCCCAAAGCTCTAGCTCCATGGAATTCCTCTAGCTATGTTGGTATGTTTGTAAAGGTGGGATACTAATACTTATGTATCTATTTTACTGAGAGAATTTAACTTTGTAGAGAGATTCAGTTCTGTGATTGGTCCACAGTAAGTACACATAAATGTCAGTTTCTTGTCAATATTTCTCTGGAATTTGTATTGTATAAAGATATAATTTTTTCTTATTATCATCTTTGCAATGTATAGTTGATATTTCTGATAGCAAAAAGATATATGGCCTTGCAATTTATAGACATTTAGGGAAAGAAATCCTGACCAAAGCCCCTTAAACTCAGAGAACAAAATTGGAACACCCAGTCTTTTACATCTCGGAAGTGGTGAGACCATGCAAAAAAGTCTTTGCTATAAATCAGTATTTCTCAACTTCATTTTTTAAATTTTCAGTCCCCTAAGGATAATCTTTAATCTCCCCATCCAAGTCTTAATAAGACAGATACGCCATGTGTATACTGTAAGAGTCTCTGCTCTAGCACACAGATTCTTTTCACTCCCTCAGAATAGATGCACTTCCCTCTCTTGGGGTCACTGTGGCATCAGCCAGACTGAATTTTGAACATGCTTACCTTGGCCATCATCATTTTAAATGCAAACCACTGCTTTCCTTTTCCTTTCCCAAGAGCCTCTTCATTTTCATTCACAAACTTTTTGGCTTCTCTGAGAAAAGACAATAAGAGGTAGGCAGAAGTGAGTTGATGTTAGTAGAATATACAGGTAGAAGACATTTCATTTTATTAGGTCTTCTAGACACTGTAGACTCTTAACAGCTGAGCACTGGGTACATTTTATAACATTTATTTATTTATTTATTTATTTATTTATTTGTCTTTTTGAGACAGGGTCTCCCTGTAGCTCCAGCTGTCCTGGAACTCTCTATGTAGACCAGGCTGGCCTCGAACTCACAAAGATCCGCCTGCCTCTGCCTCCCAAGTGCTGGGATTAAAGGCATGCACCACCACACCTGACCATTTTATAACTTTTAAAGTGTTTTTAAAATTTCATGCAAATATATAGTACATTGAACATACTCCTCTGTCCCTCCTGTACCCCCTTTTCCTGTCCCCTCCTGTGTGACCCGTTGGTCCCTCTCCTGTACACCCTTTTCCTGTCTCCTCCTAGGTGTCCCTTTGTTCCCCACAGTGCCACTTCTGTGTTCATGCCATCTATGTATACATGGCTTTGTGTATCTATATAAAACCTATAACCTAGAGACTTTAATGCATGTGTAAATTTTCTTTACTTCTGGCCAGGAAGAGCATGATATTTTTAGCCTTGCTTATCAATCATCTGAAGCCATTGGAAAGCAAGGATTTATGCCAAGTGTCAAAATAGAGAAGCCTAGTTCTTCGCATTCCCAACCCATATAAAATTAAATCTGGAGTTTATGTCAGGTTCTGGCAAACAGAATGTTTATTTTAAAATCTTTTCCTTCTTTCTTTTAAGAATTCCTTCAACAAAAAACAAGTAAAGAAGGAAGAATTTAGGACAAACTGACATAGAACAACACACTTACTGACCTGGTATTTAACCTCATAAAAGTAATCATCGCTTACAGCAAGAAAATCATAATCTAAAACTAATCAAGTTGAGGAAAAGAAAGGAATAGCTTTGGTCTCAAATTCAGAAAAAGATTTCAATTTAAACTTTTACATGACTCCTAAATTGTAGTACATTTTCAGTAGTCATATTAGAGTCCATTAAAAATACATTAATCTATCAGAATGTATAATGTGAACATGCTAAATACATGTGTTCTTGATCCTTGCTATGGACTGAATGCTCCCCCACCCCCAATTCACATTTTGAAATCTAATCCCCACAGTGATAGCATATGGTGGTTGTATACTTCTGGAGATAAAATCCTGCATTGCTAGGCAACAGGCGGTGTTCCAATATGGACCATTCTGAAAGGATGTATGCTAAGAGATGTAGTAGTCATCAATTTTGTCTTTATTTAAATATCGTTGAAACCTAGATGGTGACAATGCCAGTAGGCAACATCATTCTATGGGACACCACTGTATTTTAGGACATTGAAATGTCACCATGCAGTGAATGACTGAGTCATGAAGGTGGAGTTTCCATGAATGGAATTGTGGCCTTACAAGCAGGATTAGGTCATGCCTGTCCACCATGTGAGGGCACAAGAGGTTAGCAAGAGCACAGTAAGTTGGCTTCAGCCCTGATCAGAACATGCTGGCATCCAACCAATGATTTCCAGCCAACAGAATGCTGAGAAATAAATGTTTATGGTTTTAGCCACCTAGTCTATGATACGCTAGTCTATCAGCCTTACCTAGCTAAGACAGTCATCTGTGTTGTTTGATGAAAAAAACTTTGAAATTTAGGTGGCTCTGGCTTCTCTTGTCTACAGGGCCAGACAGCATGTGATCAAGTAATGGGAACAGTTCCAGTCTGGCTGTGGTTCTACAGTTGCAATACCATGGTCAGTTTGTTGGTCCTTAGAAAGTATGGTTTTTGTAGATGAAACCCTTCACAGACGACTTTGAACTTCTTATTACCATACAAAGTAAATCTAAAAAGATGAAAGGTTAGTGAAGGATTTTTGTGGCTGGGGATTTACCTCAGTGGTAGAATGCTTGTATAGCAAGCACGAGGCCCTGGATTCGGTCCTCAGCTCCAAAAAAAAAAAAAAAAAAAAGACAAAATAAGATGTTCCTTAAAATGCGTGCTGAGCACGAAATTTTACAGTGCCCAGTGATCAAAAGCAGCACATGCTTGCTGACTTGACTGAGACAGAGTGGCCCTTACTCATATGCCTGTGGGCATGTACCCAACTCTAGTCTAGCATATAAACACAAGCACAGTGGTGAAGTCTCTTCAGTCATCAAACAGAACACCCAAAGTTGTTCCCTTGCTAGGACAATACCTGGGCCTTTTGTTTCTCCTGTGGTATTGGTCTTGACCACAAAAGATGCTTAATAAATATAAGCCTTCTAAATATAGAGCAAACTGTATAATTATATTTAAAGTTATATTTTCCATGTCAGCGAATACTTAATGACAATAGTTTCCAGGTCTTGGTTTACATCATTATAATTATAGTATCCTTATAATTATTCTCAGAAACTCAACTGGCAACCACCAAGAAATGAAGAAGAGGCCCAAGACCGACCTTGACAAACACTCTGACAGTTGACATGACGTCTGGATTGGGAAGATTAACTAAAAAATAATTTCTAAAGAATTTGACACATCCTAAAATATTTAATAAAACCATGTCAATTATTATCTGTTTTTAGACCCATGCAATAAAGAAGGCACCACATTTAATCATTGCATCATGTAGACAATAAGATTGTTAAGATGGTGGCACCTAGCACGCACTGTAAAATGCTGAACTGAAGCCTCTAAAATACAAATTAGGGTTCCAAGAAGCTTCTGTGGTCTGACTCTGTGACCTCGTTCATGTCTGTGATGTTTTCTGTCCCTGTGCTCATGAGAGCACACCTCTCCAGGACTTGCACATACCTGATCAGCATCTGGCATAACGTCCCTGTTACTACAGGCTTTTGTCAGGTCTGGATCTCCTAACCAACAAATGCCTCAACAGTTCCTTTCCTGCTTGCCAAGAGGATAGGAAGAACAGGATGAGGATGTTGGAAGTATGGAAGGAAATGCCACACAGCCAGTTCTACTATAATGCTGATTTTCAAACCTGGACTTTGTTCTAACACAATAGATATATCACACAATGACTTGAACAAAACATGAAGTTTGACATTGCTTGTCTGTGACTTTATCCATGAGAAACATTAGTTGAATGCAGGACACTACAGTAGTGATTCTAAGAAGTATTAGAAATATCCAGAATGCACACAGCACAACTCAACTGCCTCATACTAGCCCATCCAATGTCATGGTGGCCTTCCTCAGATTTTACTGCTCCCCAGCAGCAGTCTTCTTGACGGCCACTTCTACAAGCAGATTTCAGGTCTTTCTTAAAGCGAGCTGCCGTGTTTATTGTAGTATTCATGTATCTGTGACCATTAGCCCATGTTGGGTGTTACTACTATTGTTCTTAAATGTCTTTCTTTTAAAATCTGTCATCAGTGTTTCTGAGTTCTGTATCTTGTCTATAAATCTTTTAGTTTTTACTGCTCAGTTTTATAAACTGTAGTGACTTTTGTAGGAATCCATATCACAGCAGAACTAACTATAATTCAGTTATCTGGCATCAAGAATTTAAAAATCCATAAAGTCAAATCTATAGAGAAATCTTCTATCATCCTCCATTATAATGGATTTATAGAGAGAATCAAAATTTCTCCTTGGTATTAAATTCAGAATTTGTTTTTCAAATATAATAAAATGCCCACTTCATAAGATTGTTATAATGTCAATGATATTGGTAGATTGCCATGTGCTGTTTAATTTTGTTGCAGAGGAACTCTGGTAGTGAGGAGGCCCTTATTTGTCTCTTCCAAAACTCCTGTCTTGGGGCTGGCTGACCCTCTGAGTCTGTAACAGGGAAAGAAAAACAGCCAGAAGCTAAGAACATTAAAATCATGGTGCTCTTGGGAACAGCTAAGAGATAACTATTTCCAGCAGAGGTTACCATTGTTTATCCAATTGTATAAAAATGCCTACAGCAGGTGTGGAAAGCCAGAAGTTCATCTGTGGAGAAAAAGCTCCATCAAGAGCTCCAGTTGACTGTCTCAGCTTCTCCAGTCAATTTCTGCTGGATGTTTGTAAGCCTCTGATTTGATGACGCTGCCTTTGTTTTCACTCCCAATCAAATCCATCAACTCCAGTTGTCTCTCTGGGATGTTTAAACTCCGGATTTGATGATGTTCTGCTACCTACCTGCTGTTTATCTGCTGCTAAATATTTGTTCTTTTAATTTTGCTTGCTGTGTATTTAATAGCCTTATTCATTTGAACACTTGGTCCCCAGTTGGTGGTGCTCTTTGGAGAAGTTATGGAATCTTTACAAGGTGTGAACTTGGCTGGAGGATGCATGCACTAGGTGTGGACATTGGGGTTTTATAGCCTTGCCCCGTGTCCTGTTCTCTCTCTTTCCTGAGTGTGGATGAAAATGTGATCAGTCCCTATCCTCCCCCTGCCATGACTAACCTCCCTTGATGGACTTTATACCCCTGGAATCATAAGCCCAAATAAACCCTTTCTTCGTTAAGTTTTTTTTTTTTATCACAGCAACAAAAAGTAAGTAATACAGAAATTGGTACCAAGAGTGAGGTGCTGCACTGGACCTGACGGTTGTTTTCTTGGAAGATTGTGAAAGCACTTCAAACTTTGGGCAGGAAAAGCTGTTGCGTGTTCAGAGTTAATGAGCTATTGTGGGAGTTTGGAAGGCTGAGAGAAGTGCAGATGGTGGAGACATGGCTCTTGATGTTTTGAAGGGAATCAAATACTATTGGGGTTGTTTGTGTGATATTTTCAATTAAGAATCTGTGATTGCTAGTCAAATGGGGCTGAAGACTCATCTGTGATTAGTAAGAGACCAGTGTTGGGGCTGGAGAGATGGCTCAGCAGTTAAGAACACTGACTATTCTTGCAGAAGACGCGGGTTCGAATCCCAGCACCCACATGGCAGCTAACAACTGTCCATAACTCCAGTTCCAGGGGATCCAACAGCCTCTTCTGTCCTCCATGGACACTGCATGACACAGGTGC